GCCATCATTATATACCGTAACTGGTACAAAACCCATTACTCAGTGATTTCGCAGTGGGAACAAGACAATGTGTGGGGGACATTTTAATCAAAATCCCAGGTCAACCTTCTTGTCTGCGGGGGGTTTCCCCTGCACATGGCTTTTGGTGGCAAAAAACGAGATGTCCATTGTTAAAAAAACCCATTCACCGTAATAAAATGCAAGACAGGGCAAATTTGATCGAGTGATAATAATATTCGAAAACCAGTACAGTGTTTGATTATACACAAAACATGGCGGTTTTTAAAAATTGTGAATCAGATTGGTTTTGTTGACTGGTTCGTAAGGTTAAAGTGGTACATAAACTTTTCTTCCATCTCTGACATTTCAATGCTGAATGATAAAATTTTGTCCCAAATAAAGACTGGTAACAGACCACCGATGGTAATTTTGTTTTCTGTTGTCAGACAATCATAATGAAGACCGGGTAACAACACCGAAATACAACAGGCCCGAATTCACACAAAACCCAAGCGTTTGAGAAGAAAGGTATCATTTCATAATACGCTTCCTTCAACCAAAAAAAATTTGCTCAAAGAATCATTGTCTGTGCCAAACAAAACGACGGAAAACAAAGACGCAAAGACATCGGTTTATGTGTGAGGAAAAAAGGGTCCCTCTGTGCAGGTCCCTTTGTTTCGGGGGGGTTTCCACAAGCTCCACGTTCTAAAACCATGCCAGTGATTGTAAATATAAAAATATTTTAAAAAACATTATTTTACAGGGGCCCCCGCATAACGATGGCATCGCAAGCGATTTTTCCGCATAACGATTTTTTTTACGCAAAATTTTTCCCCCGCAACCGATTAAAAACCCGCATCCCGATTTTCGTCCGAGACGCGTCCAATTGCCCTCACATGTGCCGGCCGCCCCTTGTTTACCCCCCAGCCCCGCTAACATCCAAATACCTCGGAATATTCGTATTTTACAGTGTTTTCGGTGGGTTTCGGGAAAATAAGTGCCAGGGGCCCAAAAAAGTTTCTAGTGCCAAACCCCGGGAAAAAGGGGTGAGAATTAGTATGGAAATTAAAAAAAGTTTTAAGGGGTTTTGGGGCTACCCTGAAAAGCCTTCCGGTGAATCCATTGTGCCTCTTCAAAGTTTAAAGGGAAATGTTGCAGAGTGGTTTGAACTGCAAACCTTTATAGAAAAAAAATCACCCTGCACACGTTGCAACCGTGCTTGTGACTATTTCAATGACAATGTTAGGCCCCATTTTGGGAAAAGTCTTAAAAAAAAACGGGAGGTACAAGCTCTATGGACGATTTGTTGTGCACAAGTCCGTGATCTAAAGGGGGCCTAGGCAAAAAGAAAAAGGGGAAGAAAACCCCAAAAAAGGGACTTGCTACCTCAATCCTAAGGGGAAGGGTTTCCCCCCTTCTAAACAAAAGAATAATGCTCTCCCCTCCTCCATCCCATCAATCATCACCGATCTTTCCCTAAAAATAAGTGTCATGAAATTTTGAGCCTTTTCAGTTTGTGTGTATTAAAATTAAAATTTTTATGTGGGAAAAAAAAAAATTTTTTTATTTTTGGGCTCTTTCACGGGGTTTAAATTTTTTTTCCATTATTCTTATGGGAAAATTAATTCGCATAAAATTATTTCGCATAAAGAGACCCTTCACGATTAAAATCGTTAACCGGGGGTCCACGTATACAATATTTTTTTGCATGTTTATTGTAATAAACAACAGTGGGAAACAATAATTGATAAAAAAATTTTGGCGGTATTGTGTTCAATACAGTGAGTTTATATATATAAATTATATACTATGGGGCTTCACCCCAAAAATTAGTAGGGAAAGAAAAAAAAATTTGGGAAAAAAAAAGAAAAAAAACCCAAAACAACAAATAATATAATACCGTATGTGGAACGGATGTTGCCGCCACCCATCATTTTCTACAAAATTCTTGGCACGTATCTCGGGAAGTCTGATCAGTCTAATTTTTTTTTTTTTATTACCTTCACAAAAATATGCTCTTAATTCTGAAAAAAAAATTTTTTTTTTTTTTTTAAAATTCTTGGGCAGGGGCGTGACTTCAGATTTTGGGCCCTTTGGGCCCTGAAAGGGGGTTTAAAATTTGGGCCACCCCGAGAACGAGTTTCGAAGGGCCTGTCGACCCTCAAAGGGTTAATAACAGAGAGCCCCGCTTTAGGCGTTTGTCTTATGGGGTTCGCTAATAGGCAAATTAAATTTTACCAAAATTTGCATCGGCAAGCGCCTTTTTTAAAAAGGCACACCCCCCCCGTTTTGTACATTCTTCGTGACCCCCTCTATTATGTCAGAAAACTTTCCAAAAATTTCAAGTGTTTTAAAGTTATTACATATTTTATATTATACCTTGATAATTAACTTTTGTGTACCTACCTAAATATACTTAAACACGTGCTGGGGGAGGTAACATTAAAATCACTAAAATCTCTCTACTCATGACCCCAAAACTGTACTAATCACCCTTGGCACATTAAAAGTCTTATATTACATTTTAAAATAGACATTTTCATTTAAACCCTCTATGATATTTTCCTCAAAAAATTAATAAGAAACGTGTTACATAGCAAATAAACTGATACATCCTCACAGAATAAAAATTGATGTAAATATTTAGATTTGATTACAAAGCGCTGTGTAGGTAGTGGGAAGAATTTGTTTTCTCTAGTCAAACACTGGAGGATACCTGTAGAAAAAAAAAATCCTTTCGTATGCCTTCACTCTTTTAAAAAGAAGGCCCCCTTTCGGGATTCCGCAATAGGGGGAGTCAAATTATGACCAAAATTTGCTAAGGCAAGCAGTCTTTCAAAACGGGGCCCCCCCCCCGTTTTTTTACATTTTCCGTTACCACATTATTTTCAGGAAATTTCAAAAAATTTAAGTGTTTTAAATTACTGCATATTTTTTAAAGTACTCTGATAATTATATTATGTGTACCTGTGCCCAAATATACTTACACATGGCTGGGGAGGAAAACATTTAAACGTAAATCTCTCTCTATCAGGGCGCCAATACTACTAATAATAAAATCACACTTGGGCACACTAAAATGTCTTTTTTTTCATCAATATAGGCATTTTCATTAAAACCACTATGATATTTTCCTCAAAAATTATATGAAACCCATTACAAACATATAAACAGATACTACACTCAGAATAAAAATTGATGTAAATATGAGATTTGTTTACAAAAAAGCGTTAGGTTTTGGGCGGAAGAAAACTTTTCTCAGTCAAACTGGGGGTAACTGTAAAAAATATTCTTTTTTTTATTCCTTTAATCTATGTATACAATTTTTGACCCTTGTGGGTTTTGTCTTTTTATTTAAAAATTTTAAAAAAAATTAATAAAAATAATAAAATATTATTATTTTATTATTATTTTTATTATTATTTTTATATTATTATTATTATTTTTTTTGTTATTATTAATATTATTTTTTAATATTATTTTTATTATTTTATTTTTATTATTATTATATTAATATTATCTTCATTCACTCTAAAAAAGGTGTGTTTCTGTTTGTTTTTTCTGAACTAACTTGTACACAATGTAAAAGTATTTTATGTGAGGGAATTTTATTAAAAAAAAAAAATATCGAGGGAAATTTTTACAAACTCTTACAAATGGAGTGAAAGAACTAAAAGCGACACAATTAATACCCATTTATTTTGCTGCCAAGTGATCGTTCATACCTTTCAGTTTGTGTTCCCCTTTCATTGTCCAACTCGCATCTCGTTCTCTCTCTCGTTTTTTCTTTCGTTAATATTTGGGTCTCATTGACATGGCTCTAAGGGTTTGCTGTAACAAAAAGAGAAGTCATAAGCCCCTTGCTTTAAGTGCCAAGTTAGAGGATGATGGTGTGCCATTCTGATTTTATTCAATAAACACCCTGCCCTTTACCTCTCACACATTAATATTAATATTTTAAGGTAAGTAATAAGTGTACTCTGTGTGTATCTTACCTTTTATTGTGTTTTTAATGCCTATTTCTGTTGCTAACTTAATATAAGTTAGTGTAAACTTGTTGTCTGGCATTTATTGCATATTTGATATGTGCTCTGATAATAATACTTGTGGACCTGTGTGGTAGCCAGGTGGAGGGATAGCATTATGTTTTCTCTGGTCAGGCACTAGAGAAAACGTGCATGAATCTGCGTTTGGCCCAGTCACTCCCCCACTCCACTTTTGTTTACAATTTTCGGCATGAATTATTCATTACTTCTCCCTTCGTTTATGAGGGCATCTAAAGGTAGTTGTTAGAAACGATTAAATTCAGTGAACAAGGTATGTCGATGCTAATAATATGGCTCTGGGCCACAGTGTAGGTAGCCGGTAGGTGTAGCCCAGGCAGGCTACACCTAAAAGCTACCTACACTGACTTATTATAAATAAATACTACTCACCTCTCTTCCTACATTAAGACTACACATATTTTAAGGTAAATAGTGAGTGTACTGTATGTGTATTTTAACTCTGTGAGCTGTTTTAGATATCATATATTAAGTATAAAATGGAGAGCCAGGGCTACCTACACCTGTCTTCCTACAAATAAGTACTACTCACTTCTCGCCCTAGATTAAGATTACAAATACTCTAAGATAAGTAATTAATGTACTGTGTATGCATTTTACTTATTGTGTTTTTAATGCCTAGTTCTATTACTAACTTAATATAATTTAGTGTAAACTTGTTGTCTGGTATTTATATGCATTTATAAATGGAAAAAATGGTGTTCTGCTTCCCGACAATGTCTGCTTTCCGGCGATAGCCTGGAACCTAACCCGCCGTATAAGTGGGGCCGTACTGTACAGCAATAATAATAAAAGATACAGTAAATTAAATTTTTTCCAAGTCACCAGATTAAGCTGATTCCACTCATAATTGCAAAGTTATTTAATAAAATTATTCATTGTTAGTAATTTCATTTAGTAATACCTCTGTATTAATATTTTAATGATTTATTTTAGGTTGACTCTTCTGAGGCTGTTCAGCAAGTGCTCAGTGGTGTTAAGCCAGGAAAAGGCAAAAAGCCCGATAAGGAAAAAACAGAAAAAAAGCCAGATAAGGGGAAAAAAACGGTGTGTATAATGAATGTTGTCTTAATTTTCTATATTACTTGTGACATGTATGTTAATATCCTGTTTAGATCTGTATATATGAACCCTGATTTAACAGTGTGGTATAAAGCAGTACTACGAGCATAGTTCTGCATATAAAAGAATCTATTTTTTCCTCCTAAGCTCAAGTATTCTTCAAATAAATTTCACCCTTTTGCCAGCAGTTCACTTTAATACACTCACCATACCATGTGGAGGTTGTGCCAATTTTTTCACTTTTTTTTTTTTAACAATTCGGCCATCTCCCACCGAGGCAGGGTGACCCAAAAAGAAAGAAAATCCCCAAAAAGAAAGAAAATTCCCAAAAAGAAAATACTTTCATCTTTCAACACTTTCACCTCACTCACACATAATCACTGTTTTTAGAGAGGTGTCCAGAAGACAACAGTTTAAAAGCATATACATATCAAGATACACAATATATCCCTCCAAACTGCCAATATCCCAAACCCCTTCTTTAGAGTGCAGGCATTGTACTTCTCATTTCCAGGACTCATGTCCGGCTATATAAAAATAACCAGTTTCCCTGAATCCCTTCACTAAATATTACCCTACTCACACTCCAACAGCTCGTCAGGTCCCAAATACCATATGTCTCCAGTCACTCCTATCAAACACGCTTACGCACGCCTGCTGGAAGTCCAAGCCCCTCGCCCACAAAACCTCCCTTACCCCTTCCTTCCAACCTTTTTGCGGACGACCCCTACCCCGCCTTCTTTCCCCTACAGATTTATACTCTCCATGTCGCTCTACTTTGATCCATTCTCTCTAAATGACCAAACCACCTCAACAACCCCTCTTCAGCCCTCTGACTTATACTTTTATTAACTCCACACCTTCTCCTAATTTCTACACTACGAATTTTCTGCATAATATTTACACCACACATTGCCCTTAGACAGGACATCTCCACTGCCTACTCACTGCGAAACGACTCACGAAATCGCAATGACACGATTGCAAACGAACCATACCATGGGCGGGATCTGAACCCGTGGTCAGGGAGTCTCAAAACTCCAGACCGTCTGGTCCAGTGGCTAACGCGACGGTCTGGAGTTTTGAAACTATCTGACCGCGGGCTCAAATCCAGCCCGTGGTGTGGTTTACTCACTGCTACATTTACAACCCAAGCTTCACACCCATATAAGAATGTTGGTACTACTATACTTTTATACATTCCCTTCTTTGCCTCCATACATAACGTTTTTTGTCTCCACATATACCTCAACGCACCACTCGCCTTTTTTCCCTCATAAATTCTATGATTAACCTCATCCTTCATAAATCCATCCACCGACACATCAACTCGCAAATATCTGAAAACATTCACTTCTTCCATACTCCTCCTCCCCAATTTGATATCCAATTTTTCTTGATCTAAATCATTTGATTCCCTCATCACCTTACTTTTTCTATGTTCACTTGCAACTTTCTACCTTTACACACACTCTCAAACTTGTCCACTAACCTTTGCAGCTTTTCTTTAGAATCCCCCATAAGCACAATATCATCAGCAAAAAGCAACTGTGTCAATTCCCATTTTGTATTTGATTTCCCATAATTTAATCCCACCCCTCTCTTGAACACCCTAGCAATTACTTCTTTTACAACCCCATCTATAAATATATTAAACAACCATGGTGACATTACACATCCCTGTCTAAGACCTACTTTTACCGGGAAGTAGTCTCCCTCTCTTCTACACACCCTAACCTGAGCCTCACTATCCTCGTAAAAACTCTTTACAGCAATTAGTAACTTACCACCTGAGCCTCGCTATCCTCGTAAAAACTCTTTACAGCAATTAGTAACTTACCACCTATTCCATATACATACTTGCAACATCTGCCATTGCTCCCCTATCCACTCTATCATATGCCTTTTCTAAATTCATAAATGCAATAAAAACTTCCCTACCTTTATCTAAATACTTCTCACATATATGCTTCAATGTAAACACTTGATCTACACATCCCCTATCCACTCTAAAATCTCGTCGCTCATCTGCAATCCTACATTCTCTCTTACCTCTAATTCTTTCAATAATAACCCTGCTGTACACTTTTCTTTCTAGTTCTTGTTCTTGTTTTATTTCCTCTTACCTCCATGGGGAAGTGGAACAGAATTCTTCCTCCGTAAGCAGTGTGTGTTGTAAGAGGTGACTAAAATGCCGGGAGCAAGGGGCTAGTAACCCCTTCTCCTGTACAGATTACTAAATCTAAAAAGAAAAACTTTAGTTTTTCTTTTTGGGCCACCCTGCCTTAGTGGGATACGGCCGGTTTGTTGAGAAAAAAAATGTATTATAATAATAATCTGCATACAAAGGGCTTTTGGCATGTACACCCAATCACTATATTTCTTTGTACAACTATGTATCATGTCCAGATAAAAAATTGATAAATAAACAAATAAATTATTATTATTAATTTAGGGAAGTGGAGCACAGATCCAATTCCCTTGATCAAGAGCCCCTTACCAAGGAACCTCCCTTGAGGGGGAAGTTCGCATTCTGAAATTTCGTGCGTATCCAGAAGCAAAAAATTGATCGAGTGACTGTTCGTATCCTGAAAAATTCTCATGGTGGGGCATTCGTAAGCCGAGGTTCCACTGTACTGCACTCTTAAAACTTTTCCAACCCTCTTCAACCCCTCCACTACTCATACTTGCACTAGCCCACCTTTCTGCCGATAGTTGCTTATATCCCACTTCCTCCTTCCTTAGTTTGTACACTTTCACCTCTCTCTTACTTGTTGTTTCCATTTTCCTTTCATCCCATCTACCTCCTACTCTAACTGTAGCTACAACTAAATAATGATCCGATATATCAGTTGCCCGTCTATAAACATGTACAAACTGAAGCCTACCCATCAACCTTTTATCCACCAATACATAATCAAACTACTTTCATTACGTGCTATATCATACCTTGTATACTTATTTATCCTCTTTTTCATAAAATATGTACAGTGGAACCTCTACTTACAAGTTTAATCCGTTCCATGACCTTGCTCGCAACTGAATTTGCTTGTTTGCAGAGTCAGTTTTCCTCATTTAAATTAACTGAAATGGAATTAATTCGTTCCAGTGGAATCCCAGGCACGAAAAAATACTTTAATAATTTCCCTAATATCAACTCTACAGCTTATTTATCTATCACAATTCATGTAATATGACATAAACAGTATTAACATAGAAACATGATATATACACTAGAATGAATAAAATACATGTCATTAGGTATGTGGCTAGTGGTGGTGACAGCAGCCATTGTTGTTGGGGTTTATAGGGCCACCACAGTGGCCATTCCTGCTCCTGACTACATGTGTAGAGAACCTAGGATAACCCAAAAAAGTCAGACAGAGTGACTTATAAGTGCTACACTCTTAATGCTTTACTTAATTGCTACACTCTTAACCCGTAAACGGTCCAAACGTATATATACGTTCACTCGCATAGCGCCCCAACTTTTTTGAGGAAAACAACAATCTTTACTTTTAAAAGGAAAAAAGAGCATATAGTACCCAGGCATCCCCAATTATTTTAATATGTCACACAGTGAGTGCACACACCCATTCTCTCATGTCTAGGTGACAGGCTTAATGTGGCAATGTTGAATGAATGACAAAGAAAACGTATATATACGTTTGGGGCGCTACGCGCGTGGACGTATATATACGTTTGGACCATTTAAGGGTTAATGCTACACTTAATTGCTACACTCTTAATGCTACACTTTGCCACTGCTGCTTCATGTTGTCTGCCACTGCTACCTCATGATGTTTGCCACTGCTGCTTCATGTTGTCTGCCACTGCTACCTCATGATGTCTGCCACTGCTGCTTCATGTTGTCTACCACTGCTACCTCATGATGTCTGCCACTGCTGCTTCATGTTGTCTGCCACTGCTACCTCATGATGTTTGCCACTGCTGCTTCATGTTGTCTGCCACTGCTACCTCATGATGTCTACCACTGATGTCGCCAAAGAAACGAACATTTCTGCTATTTTGAGCTCAATTTCAAGGTGCTTTTCATCATGAAACCAATTAAAATCATATTTATTTTTGTAGTATATCTTCCAGTCTATCACAAGAGACCAAATAAAACGAGAATACAACCATAAAAACCATACGATAATATACCGCTAAGGGGCTAATGGCTGAGAAGTGAACTCCGTTATTTATGGTCCGATTTCTTTCATTTTTGGTGTATGTTAAGAAGCATTTTTTCATCATACATTGCCCAAGTTTCAGTAAGACACTCCAGCAAACAACTGAGATCCAGTTCCCTAGATCAAGAGCAAGAGCCCCCTCACCAGTGTCAATTAACCTCCCTTGAGGCCTGCTCGCATCTGGAAATTTTGCTCGCGTCTGGAAGCAAAAAATCAACCAAGCAGCAGCCTGTATCTGGAAAAACTCGCACGTGGATGCACTCGTAAGTAGAGGTTCCGCCGTATTACTAATACGTAATAATAATCACTCTTGGGCACATTAAATGTCTTATTTTACGTTAATATAGACATTTTCATTAACCCCTTGACTATTGCAACCCCAAATCCTGAGGTGTCTCCTGGTGTTGCAAAATTTAAAAAAAAAAAATTATTTTTCCTATGAAATGATAGAGAATCTCTTCTGGGTTGTAATGACACCAAAAGAACGAAATTTGGTGGAAAACTGATGGAATTATGCTCCCTCGAAGTTAGCGACCTCGGCAATATTTGCGAATCGGCGATTTTGCCCACTTTGAGCCTTAGTTTCGGCTAATTACATTGTTCCAATCGACCAAACTCATAGCTATTTCTTTAGAACTCCATTTTTCTAGCGATTGAGTACAAGAAACTGCCCATTTACCAATTTCAACTACCCAATAATGTGATCGGAAATTTGCAATTTGGCCAGTTTCACGAAAATTAAAAAATATGACAATTTCAAAATAGGGTCCAGAATGAACAATGCAGACATTC